TCAAACTGACTTTTATCAAAATTAATGAAAGTACCCAGAAAGTCCCCAATTCTTCGGGCCGCACCCAAATTCATAAAAAATCATAAGGAACACCGTGCACCTGGACCCAAAACTCAGCTTCATTCAAAGGAACCCTCAGGGGAACATCCCCTGGCTTTAGCTCCCTAAGAATTAACAGATTCTGCTCGAAAGTCCATGGACCACCCTCTATGTAACGCCCCTCTCAGGGTTAAAGGAAACGTTACACTAACTCGCTACTTTAAAAAAATAAATTGCAATACAACGACTGTTTCTTTAAAATAACCCTGATGAAAATCTCAAATATAACTAAAATATAACTCCAAATAAAAACTTATAAAAATCTAGTTATCACCGGCAAATGTGATAACTCAAATATAACTTCGATCGGTAAACTTAAACACAAAACTGGTAGAGTATTAACTGTTACTACTAAAATTTGTTCATTGCGGAAAATACAACATATAAGGACTGGAAGAGAAGCTTACTCGGTGGGATGGAGATTTAAAATTCGGATAGAAACTCTTGATTGATGGGTTTGGTGCTTCTAGTTCTCTAGCAGATCGATTTTACTCCCACTGTTTTATTCTCCAAATACAATTCATCTTTCAAATTCTTTCACCAAGTGGGTTGAACTGCAGTGGAGCAGTTCATAATTTAACTTTAAATGTCTCCCTGGTGCCAACCTTCTGGGTAGGAGCAGCCAACCGGTTTAGGGACCTATACTTTGTTGATATCTAGCAAAAGAAAAGATCATTTAGTTGAGCCTTGGTCTGCCTCGATCAGAAGAAAAGAAAACAACAGTTCCACTTTTAGAGTTTTGGCTTACTTTACGGTTAAAGTTTTCAGTTGTAGTATACTCAGTTTTAACTGAAATCTTCTATTTAATTAAAGATTTTAAAAGAAGAGCTTACCGAAAGACGTTATCAAGGTGTCACACTTATATGAGTATTTTGAGTTCAGCAGTTGACAGGTAAGTTTACTATCACCTGTACATGTTTGTTCAACCAAATAAAAGGAAGAAGTCTGGTTGATTTTTAATAGATGATTTTAGTCTATTTGCTATTATGTGAACTTGGTAAGTTATTTGCTGAGTTATTTTATTTGCTGTATTAAGTTATGATTATTATCTGGCATAGTCAAGAGTTTGTCAATCTTTTTATTTTCTGATTTAATGATGTTTTTATCCAAACGTTACTATAAAAAGAACTAATACTTAAAGTGAAAGATTAAGTGATATGTACTCGGGAACAAGTTCCCACAGAGTTATCAGTTATCAGTTTCATAGAGTCCGATATGTTTAGTGGGTCGCTCCCCTGAGCTGTCGGATTGGCGCCTTTGAGTACATATCACGGGCCCACAGAGTAAAATTAGCCACAAAGAGCTTTACAGAAAGTATAAGAGATCTCTTTCAGAAAGTTTTACAGAAAGACGTTTTTGAGATCTCTTTCAGAAAGTTTTACAGAAAGACGTTTTTGAGATCTCTTTCAGAAAGTTTTACAGAGATGTTTTGAGAAGAAATTTTGAGATCTCTCCAACAGTTTTGAGAAATTATTTTAGAAAATATTTTCCTTTTGAGATCTCACTCAGAATATATTTGAGAAGTTATGTGATAGTTATTTGTTTAGTGCATGCTTATAGTCTAAATTTATCTATTGATAAATTGGCATAGACTTCTAGATATTTTTGTGGATCCATAGTGACTTACTAAGCGTAAAGCTTATCAGTTTTCTTTCTTCGCATGTACAGATACTAAAGCCAAGGGTAAGGCCCAGGCCGAGGAAGATGATGAGAGAGTGGAACGCGTGCCAAGATGAGTTAACGGGAACGACCTTGGCGGCTTCTAGCTAGATATTATTTTTTTCAGTATTTCAGTGTTATAATAAAGTGATAAATATTACTTTATTTTTATTTGAGGATTTGAAGTTCAATAAATTCCTGGATCCAGGTGGTTATCACATTTGCTGGTGATAACTAGATTTTATTGAGTTTTTATTTGGAGTTATATTTTAGTCATATTTGAGATTTTATCAGGGTTATTTTCTCAAATAGATGGCCATTATATTGCAGTTATTTTTAAAAGTAGTAAGTTAGTGTAACGTTTCCTTTAACGCTGAGAGGGGCGTTACACTCTAACACGTTTCATGTCAAGAATATAGTAAAAAGTGAACATGTACCTGTTATCGCTAATCTCTTTTATGGTAATACTTTTCACAGGTCTCCATAGCTTAGCCATGAGATCTCTAAAGACCAGAAATTTCACCAACCTGTCCGTGATCACAGTGCCCACCACCAAGAATGATTCTCATCAGCCGCGGTCTCCTCCTCTTGATTAATCTCTTCATAAAAAACGATCTCATCCTCCCTATCTCCAGGTACCATGTCCTTAGTCTTTTCTGTGATAACCTCCATTCTTTCTCAACTCCTGCAACGCCCGTCAATACAACAAGAACAAAAACGAGAGCAAACCAGAGTCTGCCCCCCCCCCCCCCCCCCCCCCCGAATCCAAACAAGCACGCTCCAAGCCAAGAAGAACTCGGATTCGTAATCGGAAGACTACCGACCTATGACGGCATTCATCCGAACCCTAATACTAGGGAGTCGTCAGCTTTTTAACTTTTTCCACTTTCGTACTTTTTTAATATGAATAAATTGTTGTAGTGGGGAAGAATAGGATTTTTTTATGAATGAAAAGACGGTAAATATGTTTTGAATTCCAAAAGTGGAGTACGTACTATGTTTTATATTTCTTAAATATGAATTAATTGATATAAAGTTGGACATATAATCATATTTATAACAATAATCACTCATATATAAATGATAAAGAATAGTGGTCCTATTTTAAAATGGCTAAAGGGTCAAATAGGTCTTCGAATAAACATTAAAGTTGAGGCTGGGCTGGTGAGTTGTAAGCTGTGGGCCATGGTGGGGCGGAGGTCGGCGGAGGTACTAGACACTGACCAGTGCAGCGTTGGTCACTGGCCTAATGAGCGGCGATATGATGCTAAGATTGGAGGGGGAGGGGTTGGGTCAGCATGGGGCAGTGAGCAGTGCCACTTTCCATGGTCGTGGCGGCAATGGCGGGGCTGTAGTCGATTTCGAGGCTGGGGAGGTGGCTTGGGAGTCTATGTTGGGTCGAGCGGTGGTCGGCCGGCGCTGGCCAGTGGTTACCGGAGGTGGACGGCGGTGGCCGGAGGTGGCTGGCGATGGCCAGGAGTAGGGGTCACTATCAAACCCTGTAATTGTAATTGGTTTATCCGGATAATTATAAATGGACGGGTCGGATAAGTGTAATTGGACGGGTCGAATAATTTTAACTGAACGGGTCGGATAACTGTAAATGTAATTGGACGGGTTGTGTAACTGTAACTGGACGGTTCGGGAAACTGTATTTGGACGGGTCGGGTAATTGTATCTGAGCGGATGGGGTAATTGTAAGTGGACGGGTCACGTAACTGTAACCGGACGGGTCAGATAACTGTAACTAGACGGGTCACGTAATTGTAACTGGACGGGTCACGTAACTCTAACTGAACGGGTCACGTAACTGTAACTGGACGGGTCACGTAACTGTAACTGGACGGGTTAGGTAACTATAATTGGTTGGATCGGGTAACGGTAACTGGTTGGGTCACGTAACTGTAACTGGTCGGGTCAGGTAACTGTAACTGGTCGTGTTGGGCCGCGGGTATGCGGTGCCAGCAACAGCCAGCCCGCCGGTGCAATCGGACCGCGTGGTGCTTCGCATGTGCTATAAATGGGGAGGAGCGTGCTACACTATCAGCGATTGCTTTTAGTGTAGCGGTAAGCGCAACGATCCAAAATTGGTATCAGAGCCAAGGTCACGGGTTCGACCCCTGGCAACAGCAACAGCCAGCCCGCCGGTGCAATCGGACCGCGTGGTGCTTCGCATGTGCTATAAATGGGGAGGAGCGTGCTACACTATCAGCGATTGCTTTTAGTGTAGCGGTAAGCGCAACGATCCACAGGTCGGGTAACTGGAACTGGTTGGGTCGGGTAACTGTAATTAGTTGTGTCTAGTTAACTGTAACCGGTCGGGTAATTGTAATTTGTTGAGTCGGGTAACTGTAACTGTAATAGACGAATCAAATAATTGTAACTGGTTGGGTGAAGTAACTATAATTAACCGGGTCAACTAACGGTAAATCGTAACCGAGTCATATTAAATGATAAATGAGGAAGTATATAAAAGTCAAATATGGAATATCCCTTTTGTTGGTCCACGCAGGCTTATGCATGGTCCACACAGGCTTATGCATAGTATTCTGTGTATTACGTGTGCTGTGTACTGAGACTAGTTGCCAATAAGGGTATATACGCCCGATTTTTAAAATGATGCCACGGAAGGTATGTTTTTTGGAAAATGTTAAAAGAATTGTTATATTTGTCCATAGTAAAAGAATGAGTAAAGGGTCAGTTTGGTCTTCGAAGTTGCAAAAAAAACGTCAAATAAGTCCTTATAAACAAGATTCTGTCCAGACGTGCCATTTGAGGTGGCTCCTGGTGGAATTTTGTGATAAATTTTTTTGAGCATCTTATTAATTAAGTCTAGTTTACTCATACCAAATTTCAGCTAAAAATTCAATCGGGAAGACATTCAAATGAATTCTTGAAGATAACAGCGCTTTTAACGGCACAATTATCTTCAAGAATTCATTTGAATGTCTTCCCGATTGAATTTTTATCTGAAATTTGGTATGAGTAAACTAGATTTAATGAATAAGATGCTCAAAAAATTTCATCAAAAAATTCCACCGGGAGCCACCTCAAATGGCACGTCCGGACAAAATCTTCTATATAAAGACTTATTTGACCTCCTTTTTGCAACTTTGAGGACCAAACTGACCTTTATCCCGTAAAAGAATTGTTATATTTGTCCAAAATTAAATGTTTATGCTACACAAGTTCTTTATACTAGCAAATTTTTATCTATGGTGTATAGGGAGTGTGGGAATCTTTAAAATGGGAGGGCTGAATGATGTTGATAAGAGTTTGAGGGTTTATTTGTATTTACCTAATCCTTTTCCGTAAGCGAGCCAATTCCCGATCCTCCATAGACAAGGAGCATAATTTCTCATCAGTAATTGCAAGTCATAGCCAAGTCTTCATACGTGAAGCCGGCGGGAAAACGTCGCTAACGTTGCGAGTCACAGCTTAGGGCTCAATCAAATTCCGACGCCTGAGCTAAACCCTAAAAATGGACAGTGCATTCGCCAGTGCCTCTGCGATTAGCGACCAGCGCCAGAAGATTGAACAGTACAAGCACATTCTTTCCACTGTGCTATCCTCAAACGACATCGTTCAGGCCAAGCGCTTCATTGATCACAGTTACGCTCTCTGCTTCTGTGCCTCTTCTTTCCTAAAGCTTTGCAACTTAATTTTCATATTTTTGGGAATTTATTTGGTCTTGCAGTGCTATCGGACGATGTGCCGTTGGTGGTATCACGCCAACTTGTACAGACGTTTGCCCAAGAATTGGGGAAGCTGGAACCGGAGTTTCAGAAGGAAATTGCAAATTATACGCTCACCCAGATTCAGCCAAGGGTGGTTTCGTTCGAAGAGCAGGTTAGCAATTGGCTCAAATTCAAAGTGGCATCAATTTTTCTTATCATTGTTATAATTTGTTACTTCTACTTGGTCATCAAGCGTGACTACTTGGTTTATTTGAGTGGGATGGCAGTGGGATGATGTTAAATGCAGTAGGTTGTTATTTTGGGAATCTGGTAATATGCAAAATGTGGTGTAAGTTCTAAAGATGATAGGCTCATGGTGAACTCTCAGAACTCAGAAGCTGTTTGCTTGCTCTCAAACTGTTAAGTGTAAAACATGATTAATGCATTGTCCTGCCTGCCGGTGTGTTTTCTTGCTACAAATTGTTGATATCTCTATTTTAGAATTCTAAACTATACCTGTATGCTCCAGATGTTGATTATTAGAGAGAAACTTGCAGAACTGTACGAGTCTGAACAACAGTGGTCTCGAGCAGCCCAGATGCTCAGTGGCATTGATCTGGACTCTGCAATGAGGTTTGCACCAGCATTCTGATCCCCCTCTGTGACTTTTATTAGGACTACTGTTTTTCAGTGATACAGTACTTATACATTTATTTATATGTTTGCTTGTAGAGTTGTTGATGACACTTTCAGACTTTCAAAATGTGTACAAATAGCACGCTTGTATCTTGAGGTATTATATTCTTGCCTAACTCTTTCTCTGTCTTTATAAATGTGTCCAATTAGCTTTGTTGATGAAACATTGAAACTATTCCTCTCCGTGGCATGCTTTGATAATAGCTGGTTAAGAAACATCATTTGCTTAAATTAATGTAGCTTACCTTAGCCTATCATCCTTTTTCCTAGCTTGCTTGATTATCTGGTACATTCCCATTAATATCAAGATACTTTTTTCACTTCATGAAACAATTGCAAATCAAATATCCTTATGAAGCTATCCCATGTTTATTTATAATAAACTTATCACACATTTTATTGATTTTAAAGTTAATAATGATAACATTTACATATTTGACAGGATGATGATGCTGTAAATGCTGAAGCTTTTATGAACAAAGCATCTTTTTTGGTCAGCAACAGCAAAAATGAAGTGTTAAATTTGCAGTACAAGGTCATTATCTGGCTATCTTATTCATTTTGTTTTTTCCATCAGTATAATAAACCTGCTAAATAACTTGTCATTCTTGCAGGTCTGTTATGCTAGGATATTAGATTTGAAAAGGAAGTTTTTGGAAGCTGCCCTGCGTTATTATGACATTTCACAGATTGAGAAGCGGCAAATCGGAGATGAGTAGGTTTTTACAATATAATTTTACAAGAAAAAATGATGCATGCTACATTATAAGATTATGGGAAGAATAAAAAAGGAATCATGTAGAAGACTCAGGAGAGTAACATGGCTGATTGATTTGGTTAGAACTCCTATTTCTAATAAGGATTAAATGCATAGTACCTAAAAAAAGGGAAGAAGTCCAAGCAAAGCACACCTTTAAAACAGATAATGCAAGTATTAAAATAAAACAAAAGTCATTAATCAATCAACCAAAGTTTAGCATATGAAACAGCCATTTCACTCTCCACAATCTTCCATTCGATTGCTCTTTTATTTTTCCTCAATCTTGTAATGTAGCATGCATCAAATAACTTCTATGGATTTCCACATTTCGTGATCCATCTTTTCATGACAGAGAAATTGACGAAGCAGCCCTTGAGCAAGCTCTAACTGCTGCAGTAACATGCACAATTTTGGCTGCAGCTGGCCCTCAACGTTCTCGCGTACTTGCTACTTTATACAAAGTAAAAATTAACAATCCCCCCTTATTTTTAGTGTTTTGAAGGAATTATGTTTTCCATATGTTAGGTAGGTAAATAATTTTGTGCTAGGGCCTAGGAATAAAACTCAGATTCACTGGGTAATTCCTTCACATTATAGTTTAAATTTAATAAGGTCGTGTACAACTGTACATCTGCTGGTAAGAAAGAATATATCAAGTGAAGAATCGTATTTATTATTTCGATATTGGTATAAAGATATCTCATAATGTTGCATGCATCATTATTAGTAACTTTGTAAGTATACATCAAAGGCTGATGTTTAGGCAACCGCTTTTTCCAGTGCACCCAAAAATAAAATTTAGGCACCCAATAAAGAAAGAAATAAAAAGTAGTGATAATTAATAATTTATAAATACTAAGCTGCTTGCTGATCTTACTATCCTACCATTTAATACTCAATGCTTTCCACCTTTAATCGGGATCATATAGATCAACATCAGCTATTTCCAGTTACTTGTGCGTACATGCTCTCCATTATATTCTTCATGTTGCATATGACCTAATGCACCATGGTATGATCCTAATTTGTGTTACTAACTGCATTTGTCTATACTTTTTGTATTGCCAGAATCCATGTATTATATTTCTTCAAACCCTGAATTGTTGTAGACTATGATTATGGCCAAATGTACAGAAAGACTAACTAAAATAATTAACCATCATTTAGCAATGAACTAAGATTATTTTTTCCTCTCCTTTTCATGACTAGGATGAGCGCTGCTCAAAATTGAAGATTTTTCCAATCTTGCAGAAGGTACGCTCCAACTTCTTTCACATACATAAATTAAACATTCCGCTCCTACATCTTAAAGACTTAAACCATTGAACTGTTCATTCGGTGGAAAACTTGTGATCAGCACATAAGTAGAAAAGAGAAGTTGTATGCCATATTTCTTGGTTGCCATAATATGCCATTTTCACTTTTTAGGTCTATCTTGAGAGAATTCTTAGAAAACCCGAAATCGATGCTTTTGCTGAAGAATTAAAACCACACCAGGTATCGTGTTAGTTGTTTCAAGTACTCCATAATGTTCATACTTGTTCAAGTGTGTTTATGTCATTATTATAATTTATCCAAAATATTGTCTACAGCAAGCACTACTGCCGGATAACTTTACTGTTCTGGATCGTGCTATGATAGAACATAACCTCCTGAGTGCAAGCAAACTTTATAGAAACATTAGGTAATAAACTATGGATTGAAGTTTTCTTTCATATTGTTGTTTTTAATATACCCCTTTTTCTTGCCCTACTGCTGGACTATTCTTGCTCTTTTGATGATGCAAATTTGTCTTTTGTTGATTTATGTGGCAGCTTTGAAGAGTTGGGCACACTGTTAGGAATTCCTTCTCAAAAGGTATTACACTATCTTCAGACTTCAAAGGTCAAATGCTGCTGTCAATATGCAGACTATCATTTTTTGGCTTGTATTTTGGTGTTTCGAATGGATAGAAGGAAATAGGACAAGCTCATTCTGTGGCTTTCTTTCCCTAGGATGCTGGTCATTGTATTCCCATAACAAGCATATTTTTCACTATCGAGCTACTTATCTTTTAAGAATCTAAAATTTTAAATCTGCGAGCATTATTAAGTGTTACAATGTAAATATAAAATTAAAAACATTTTATTTGTATCAGAACCTAGCCTTAATCCCGAATAAGAGATCATGTAAACCTATTGAAAATGTCAGGTGGTTTTGTCACCCTTCCCTGTGCAGTAAGCCAATGTTGTGTTTTTCTAGTGTGGTTTTCTGATTTCATGAACATTACAGCCATGGCAGATTGGCAGCTTGATAATTCCATCTCATAACATTTACATGACAAGTTCATATGTTTAATGTATTGCAGGCTGAAAAAATAGCATCAAGAATGATTTGTGAAGATAGAATGAAGGGATCTATTGATCAGGTATACACTATTATCTAAATAAATGGAAGATTTTTTCTAGAATTCCTGAAGTTCAGTCATCTTAGAATGCTCGCTGGACTGTTGTAGTGTTGTTATAGATCATACTTCTAAAAATAATGTTATGGTTTAGTACACGCATGTCATTCAAAATATAGTAAGAACAGTGAAATTTCAATCTCATTTTGAATTGTTGACATGTTATTGTCCTTGTAATGAAGAGTTTTTGGCACTTTTAGTCCTCCGACTATTATGTTACTGACACTTATGGTACTCGACTTTGATTTTTCCCACTTTTAGTTCTTCGACTATTGTTTGAAAGACACTTATGTACCCGTCTTTGAAATTTCCATATTTAGTCCTCCGACCTTCATAAAAGTGACACTTTTGGTTTTTCACCTATTATAGTAGTGACATTTTTAGTCCTCCATTTATTGTGTCAAAAACTCGAAATCATAGTGGAAGGACGAAAAATGTCAATTTGATAATACTCAAGGGAATAAATGTGGGAAACTTTGAAGTCAATGACTAAAAGTGTCTTTCGCACAATAGTCAATGACTAAAAATGGAAAAGTTGAAAGTCAACTACCAAAAATGTCTGACACAATATTCGAGAGACCAAAAGTGGCAAAAAGTCTTGTGATGAATGCTGATTGTCATATTTGTGCATGTCAGGTTGAAGCTGTTATACATTTTGAGGATGACACTGAGGAGTTGCAACAATGGGATCAGCAGGTAACCCTTATGGTTAGAAGACCCAAAGTGTCCATTTGGAATCCCTTAAAATGCTACGCTATGAAAATAGGATTGACAATAGGGGGAGATTTGAAACAAATTTGAAATTTGGGGGAAAATAAAAAATCAGTAACTCAATGCATCAATTTTAGATGGGAAAATTCTTGTTGTATACACTTTTTTGTACACACCAGCCTGTCAGTAGCCTGATCATAGACAAAACATTTTTACCGCCGTAGGTGAACATGTTTTGTCTGTGAAGAGGCTATTCACTAACAAAATAATAGCCTACTCACCGACATGTGTACTTGTGTGTACAAAAAAAGTGTGCAAATAGTTTTTTCTGTTAGGTATTTGTTTCCTCATTTGATATATATATATATATATATATATATATATATATATATATATATATATATATATATAGAGAGAGAGAGAGAGAGAGAGAGAGAGAGAGAGAGAGGACTGCTCAGGTCCAGCCGGAGGGACGGGAGCAGCCGTCCGAACTTTACTGTTTGGGGCGTTTCCCGGTGGAATTTTTCGATGAAATTTTTTGAGCATGTTCCTCATCAAGTCTAGTTTGTCCATACCAAATTTCAGCTCAAAATTCGATCGGGAAGGCAGTCAAATAAATTATTGAAACTTACTGCACTTTATATATTCGCAGAATGTGCAGTAAGCTTCAAGAATTTATTTGACTGCCTTCCCGATCGAATTTTGAGCTGAAATTTGGTATGGACAAACTAGACTTGATGAGGAACATGCTCAAAAAATTTCATCGGAAAATTCCACCGGGAACCACCCCAAACAGTGAAGTTCGGACGGCTGCTCCCGTCCCTCCGGCTGGACCTGAGCATTTCTGTGTGTATATATATATATATATATATATATATATATATATATATATTTCTATTACATACACGATTAAGAAACCTAAATATACATCACATTTGAAGAAGTATTAATTATTATTTTTTCTACCTACATTTCTTTTAAAAGTACATCCAAACTCTAATAACAAATGTAGTCCTTGGCATCGCTCCCACCTCACAGATTTAAGCATTAATAGCATGGCCTAAAAGAATTTACCTACATATTGTCTGTTTTCCTCATGAGCAATGGAGAGTTATGTTATACCTAATTATCCGGCATTTGTTCTTATGAAAACTTGTGCAGATCGTCGGCTTGTGTCAATCTCTTAATGATGTTCTTGATAGCATGGCAAAGAAGGGTCTACCTATTCCCATCTAAATCTTTCACGGCTCCTCAATCAGCTGCAGTTTCTTGCAGTTTGCGTTGTCTATATTCTATGTACTTAAAACCAAATTTCACGACTTTACATATTTTTGTCCTGCAAATTGGCACCCTTACTGTGAATGAGCCTTTCATGAGGATATGATCGGGTTCTTGAAACAGCTTTTTTGTAACTAGGAAGGTCATTAGAGTTTCGCTTGTACACTTTCTTATACTCCGTATTTAATTTCAAGGACAACCAAGTGTTCTGGCATGAAATCTATCTCTAGACATTGCAATAATAGTTTTGTGAAGATCTGCAGGGTAGCTACCCGGGGCAGGGGGCGGTGAAGTAGGGCTTGTCCCGGCCCTCACTTAATAAAAGTCGAATAAGGGGTGGGGAAGAGCGGAGGTTTTTAAGACATCATTGTAGTGAGGTCCACTGAAGTATTGATGGTTTTCTCTTAACAGTCGTAACTCGTAAGTTGTTATATCGTGAACATGGTACTCCCTACGTTAGCAATTATGTAAATACTAAATAGGTATGCTTTGGTGTACCACTGTACGTCTGTACCTCGTGTCATATTTTATTAAATGTAAAATGTCATTAAAAAAGATGGAGTACTATTTATTGATACAAAAGTTAAATGATTCATATAAATGACTTCATACAACAGTCTAAACTGTGTGTCTGTGTGTATAAAATGCGTAACTCCTGTATATTTTGGGTTAAGTGTAATACTACTACAACTTTATCGATACAAAACTTATATTATTAGTGTAAATGAGTATACAAAATACTTAAAAACAATGTAAATGAAATGTGAAAGACATGCAAGTACAATACATTTTTGTGCAAATGTATACTCCCCGTCCCATAAAATTCTTCTCATTTTCCTTTTTGGGTTGTCCCAAAAAATTCTTCACACTTTCATTTTTTGGACAATTTGTGTGGTTTACATTCATTTCACTTTTTTCTTACACAACCACAATCACACATTTCCACTTTATTCCACTTTCTTAATCTCCGTGTTAAGCCAAAGTGAGAAGAATTTTCTGGGACGGAGGGAGTATTACTTAGTAGTTAGTAGAAATAATGGCCCTAATATAACTACTCAACTTTTGAATGCCAAAGTTACTGAGGGGGTGTTTGGAACTGATTCTGCTTCTCCTTTTTTAAAAGCAGAATCAGAATCAGTTTTCAGAAGCTGATACCTCCCAACTTCTAAAAAAACTGATTCTGAGAGTAAATTAGAGATCCAGAAGTGTTTCTGGAATTTCATCCAAACACTCCTGCTTCTGTTTCTGCTCCCTGAAGGAGCAGAATCAGTTTTGAGAATCAGATCCAAACACCCCAGAGTCATCATAAAAACATCATCATTCATAATCTAAGTTGAAGAGAGAAGATAAAAATCATAAATAAATTAAAATCATAAAAACATCATCATTCATAAATATTTTGATGAAAAGATTAGTAAAAGAGAATTCAAGAAAGGAAGAAGAACTGAAGAAGTAAAGGAGAAATCAGAGAAATCCATAAAGTTGCAGGTCAACTGGTCAAGTAGACCGGTGTAGAAAATAAAGATTTTTTAAAATATGATACAAAGATGTATTGAGATGAAGACAATTCTTAGAACTTGTTTACTTAGAACTTGTTTCGTGAATTTGTTTATCGGTCAGTTTTATCAGCTAATTGTTCACTTAACACGTAATTTTTCATTTCGCGCGCTGAATTGTGTAACACTACTTTCGTCTTATTAACATTGAGATATGAGCATGTGACACAATCTTAATAGGATAGACAAAATATGAAAGATGGGACAATTTTAGCGGGCTGAATGGAATAATCAAAATAAGTAAAATTGGAGTTACTTTTCCAACTGATGTTACTATAAAATACCATTTCCTTTTAGTTATTATCATATAATTTTTTCTGTATTTTATTATTACGATATATTACCTTTGTTCAATTGTCTCGGTGAACTTTGTTAAGTTCAAAGTAGGTGAAAAATAAGAAAAGTAAAAATGTGTGATTGAAATTTGTGCACACGAAAGAGAATTGAGCAAAATCACAAATTAATTATTTCAACATGAAGGAGTCAGTGTTTTTTAGAAAAACCCAAAAAAAAATTGGTAAAATCCAATGGGACGAAGAGAATTTATTTATTTATTTTATACTCCGTATAAATTAGCATAATAAGCTGATTCAGGCATTTCATTGTTACCAAACAGACTATATACTACGCCTCACTTAAATGAGTTGCTCCATTTTACCCATTTATAACCACGTATTCTGGTGGCGTAAAATGGGATTCTAATTTTGGGATACTTTTAGCATTTTACACTTTAAATAGGGCAGAAGCTTGTGCACGGATAAGATGGAGAATAATACGGACTATTCCGTAAGTTTTTTATTTTAAAAAATTTACTTGTTAAATTAAATTAAAACAGAAGCCCTAGTTCCCGCCAAATGTGTGGCGCGGTTTTCTTTTCAGTCAGCATATAGTCCCGCTCAGCTGTCTCTGGCTAAATGTTTCCTCTAAATCTTCGCCAAGATCAGATTGAGAGCTGGAGCTATCTATCAACCAGATCCTTGAGATTCAGCTGTAGGTGCTTTTTTTTGCAAGATTACATTTTTTTCAATTCGACTGCTGCAGCGATTTAGGGTTTTGTTATGAGTGCTGCTGTTATTCGTTTACTTGAATTGTTTCATTCTGCAATAGAACCCGATACCCAGACACCCCAATCCTCAGGTAATGTAATCACACATTATAACTTACATATATGTGTTGGTAAACCTCTAAGATGTTAAGATCTGTAGATCTGAACTGAATTTTGTTCTTGATAAGATTAATTTTTAAATAAATAAAATGTGTTATTGTTGATATTTCGCCATTTTGGTTTCCGGTTTCATCACTTCATGCTTCATGCAAAAATTACTTTGGGGTAGTTAAAATGGGAGTTCCAGAAACAGCATATTAAGTCAATAAATTTTGGTCGATTAGCAATTGAAAAATTCAGTGTTAATCCCTCTTAATCTTTAGTTCACTTCAGTAAGCCTTTATCTAGAGTAGCTAGTCATTTGTCATTCCATTACTCCACATATGGATTTTATTATTTACCTTACTCGTTTTTCTCAAATTCTACCCTGTTACTTCTGTTTGTTTGGGAGCTTGTCTATCTCAACCGTTCTGAATTCAGATCAAGTTTATTTATGTAACTCTTTCTTAGACTGTTGACTGTTCTATTGTATTCTTGTACACGTCACAGTAAGTTTACTATTTGTATTCACTTCACGTTTTCAGAAGTTTGAATTATCAGTTTACATTTGGTTATAGCTGAAAACTGTAGTAACCTTTCAATAATCATTTATCATTTATCACGCCAGATTTCCCCAGATATAGCAGTGTGAGCAATTGAGCTGTTAAGATTCTGACTGGTTGGAGTGTTAGACTATGGAACTAAGGAAAGCTGGCACTTCTTTGCACTCTATCCAAACTATAAGGGATGGGTTGGTTGTAAAGATGTCCAATAGAAATGGAACACCAGCTCTTAATTTCAAATATCTGGATGAGATTTATGAAAGCAGAGGATTGAAACCCTTTTTCACTCTCAATTCTGCAGAAAAGTGTGTCAAGAGTGATAACCAATTACCACTGCCATTTGCAGACAGAATATTAAGTGAAAACAATGAGTTTGTTTCATGTGGCAGTGGCAGTGAAAGTGACTCGGACAACAACGTATTTGTGGGTATGACTCTAAAGCAAGTCAAGGAGAGGTGCAAAACCAAGAAAAGGAAACTTCGGAGTCTTTCTAGTATTATTCGAGAACAGGAAGTCTTTAATTGTGATGAAGAGGAAGATGAAGATCTCAATGTTCCACTCAGTGTTTTCAAAACAAAAGTATCAAAAACTAAGAGGGAATGCATCGATGGGAACCCACATCCTTCTTCAGAAACTGCTATATCAAACTCAACAGAACATATAATTGGACCTGATTGCACCTTACAACTCAATGGGGAATCAGCTTCTTTAGTTCCAACTGTCAAAGATGAAGTTCTTGAAGAAGATTTCACTGGGAACCAATGCATAGATCCTTTAATTGATTGCTCCTCCTTTAACTGCGATGAAGAATCAAGTTGCAGTGGGTCAATACTTGGTGAAGTTCCTGATGCGGTTGAAGTTCAAGAAAACATGACTATGTTGTTTGCTGAAGAACAACAATGTTGTACTCTTAATGAAATGTCAACGAATTATGACTTGGACTGTGCTGAGACTGATATTCACTTGATTGAAGTTGAAGCTGGGCAAGAAATGTGTTCAAGTCAGGAAAATGATATTACAACTAGCCCTATTGAAACAATTTCTCCCAGGGGTTTCCTGACTAACTCAAGCTCTAATCATGTTTTAAAATCTCCAGAAGATGGTGGTGCCTCTTCTTTGATCCAGCTTCCAAAATATTCCTCTGCTGATACAAGAAATAGTTGTTTGAATACCTATGTATTACAAGATGAGTCATTGACATTGAAAACATTGGAAGACAATAAATCTCTAGATATGGTTGATGAAATAATAGATCCCAGCATTGAAACGCAACCATCAAATCAAATCTCATCGGAACTGCTACAACCTCCTCAAAGGTTTCCTTCTCTTCGAAAGGTTAGATTTATTTATACTTCACACGTTTTCCATCCTGTAATTTAGAAGTTAGCTAAGTACTGTGTTCTATTTTCTCAGGCTATATCCCCAGCTTCCCAAGAAAGGCTTTGTTTGCAAATGAAATCTGCAGATTACTTTGATGAAGCAGAGATTGGCAGTAAGTCATCTGCACTAGCACTGTATAATTAGCTTTCCATTTTCTTCTGAGTTATTGTTGACATATCCCTTCAGTCCATTTTTTCTGGCAGTGAAGGCAAATTAATTCGTCACTACATGCAATTAATCTCAAAGAATAAATCAATATCTGTTAACTGTTTGCTAATGGAACAACCATATCTAGATGGTGTAGAGCACAACGCTCTAAAACAATTTGAGACCTGAGCTGGAAACCCTTCTAACATAGATCAATTTCAATTTGATATTCATTATAAACAAATTTTGAAGCACTTGTTCCTTTATCAATGGTTTCCTATTTTTAAAAAACAATAATTCAAGCCAACTCTACTTCATACTCTGGGCATTTCTAAGAACAACTCAATTGTAGACTTTGTTTTGTAGGAATATATTATTCTGAGTAGTGATTCTTATTTTTGTGACGATGTGGTTAAGAGATAATTTCAATCATTTCCAATGGAGCCAAAGACTCACTATTTTTGGCTTGGGAATATGATGGAATAAAGCAAAATCACTCACTAGATTGTCTGCGTTTCTTTGTCATGAAGTAGCAATCAGTCCACATAATTTGCGACGCAATTTTCATCACGGCTCATCCGGAAGTAGTCTCTTTGTGCCTTAGTACATGGTAAGTTTGCGTATATCCGACCTCCCTTACCCCCACTATAGGTGGCACTGTGGTAATGTTGTTGTTGTGTGGTTGAGAGATGAAGAGCACTAACATGGAAAGCAATAAAGATGAAGAACTTCCCCACTATTGCAAGAGGAAGGTGGTGTCCAGCCTAATCAAGATTCACAGGAGTTAACTACAAATATTTAGGGTTCAGGGCAAAAACATTTTCAAGAAAGTTTCCCCTTGTTTGGCCTATTTCTTATTTTGTTATACTTGTTGGAAATGATTTTTCATTTTTCATGAAGCAGTTTTAGGTTCTGTCTATTTTGTGGAACATAATATTATGCGTAGAACTCCGTGAAGACATTTTCCACACCAAGTTATTTTTCCCTTGAAAAAAACAGATCTTGGTTTCGCTGTTAGCAAACAGAAGGCTAAATGTTAGCTCTTCCATGTCTGTTGTAGTAAAACTAGGTGACTAACTCTTATTTCTTCCATCTATGTTGTTGCAGTAAAACCTGTGCTTGGGCAAAATGAAAATTATAAACCATCTGATCAGGCTTGCCAACCTAGAGTTACTATAAGGCGTGAGCAGATCAAGAGAAAATTTAAGAAGAATAGCCACCAAGGATTTCCACATAGAGGCAATTTGGATGGCCCACTATTTTCTCGATCTCTACCTCAACTTAGCAGTGGATCTGCCTCCATCGACAGCTGTTCGAACAGTGCAATAGCATTTTCACAGCGGCAGATGCATGATTTTGAGTCTCTTGCAATGAAACTGTTGTATGAGTTGAAATCCATGAAAGACGTGGTTGAAGAAAAGTTGCTTTTCAAAGCTTATCGCAGTGTTTGCGGGAAAAATGAAGTAGATGAGGTATCAGTTACTGTTAGTTATGTTTTGGTCATTTCAGCCTTTCATTGAAGCTACACATTCAACCATACTTTTATTTAACCTTGATGAACACTCTTGTCAATTCTGCAGGTGAGAAACACAATTAATAACACTAAGAAAGTTGAGGAAACAGCAAGAAAGTGGATGTCCATGATGTCAAGGGACTGCACCCGCTTTTGCAAACTCATGGTAAGTATTGCCCCCTACACTGCTAAACTGTCATACACATTAGGAGGGAGCATTTTTGGGTTCCTATGAGCAAGTTATATTTTTCTTAGAATTTGAATTTTGTAGTCATGGCCTACAACTTAGTGTCATTATTTATCTGATGGATTATTTTGCTGAAATAGAGTTACTGTATGCTACAGGAAATACAGAAACAGAGTCAAAATGATACAACTTCTAAGGGCACAGATCAAAGGGATAGGAAGATTACTTTTGCTGATGAAGCTGGTGGTATGCTTTGTAGTGTGAACTATTTTGATGCTGTAAGCTCTCCACTACTGCCATGTGGTGATGAAAACCAAGAAGAGCAAGACCCTATAGACTTGTGAAATTACACCCACATTTGAAATTTATTCCTCCCCTCTGATCCATTTTTCGGGCAAAGCAAAAGAGTTGGAGCATCCTGATGGAGGCTTTTGCTTTCAGTTTCATGTGTGCAACTCTCGTTCAGCTTAATTCATCATTGTCTTACTCCTAGTTCAGTCCAAAGTATAGCTTTGTGAATCAATCAGATACCGATCAAGAGAACATAGGACTTGGGTGCTAAAAGTTTGTAGAACTGATGTGCAAATGATTTGGAACATTTGCATTGCTACTTACTGTTCCCATCTGGTGCATGTTGACTAAACTTTTATACATTTCATGTATTGCTGCTTCATACTTGGGAGTGTTTGCAAAAGTGTTAAAAAGTACTCCGTATTTTTCAGTTTTTGCTATAAAGGAGCTGAAATGGGTGTCCTTAAACATTTTAACGTTAAAAAGTGATATATCTAAACCCTCATCCTCCAGGACCTCCACTGCCTGTTCCAAACCCTTTGTCCAGGATTACTCTCCACAAAGATGAATTTCTTCTCATGAAACGAGGCATACTTTCCAAGCTTGAATCATCATGAGTAAAACTTCTTATGTTTCAAAGGTTTAATTCTAATGTAAATTCTTTTAAATAAATATCAGTCACATACTGTCCTTTTCTAAGATATTAAATATTCAAATGTATTATACAATTTCTGTAAAGTGACATTCACTCGGCTTGGCTAGGCCATCCGGGTGGGCTTCCACCTTATACAATTTGCCTCATAATTATTTACCATTTAGGCACTTTTTTTGTACCCGTAAGGGTAAAAAAAGAATGATTGACTCAAATAAATAGAAACTGTGAGTTGGGAAAAGAGAGAGGGAAACAAGTTGGAATAGTTCTATCACTTCTATGTTTGTCGAATGATCAGCCTCTTTGTCTATGTTCGAATAGTCGATTACTATTTATGCTAATGGTTTATTAGATCATCTCGTTGAGTCTAAGCCCAAAAAAAAATGCCTCGTTGAAAAAACTAATGAATAGTTTGATCATTTACACATTAAAACTTCACATACAAAATGATTTCATGCAAAATTTAATGGTTTTTTTCAAAAATATTACTTCAATATAAATTATTTAAACAAATATGATTAATAATTACTACTCCCTCCGGTTCTTTTTAAACTTCAGTGTTTGACTTCACAGTTATTAAGAAAATAAAGTTGACTTTACTGTAGAATACACTGTTGAGACATTGTTTGGCACTGTTTGGCACTGTTTGGCACTGTTGATGTAGATTTCTTTGCCAAATAAGGAAATAAGGAAGTGTGAAGTTTATTTTGGACCGTCCCAAAAAGGAAAGTGTGAAGTTTATTTAGAACCGGAGGGAGTACAACGTAGTGTCATGATAACTTCAGCTAAAATGTTGAACATAAGTTATTAGGATTCCATTACTACTCTAGTCACTAGTCACATTTTTGTAAACAATCTTCATTTTGATCATATATATGTAATTATTTCAGATTTAATTGGACGACTAAAATTTTCTAATTTGGTCTGTTTAAGTCTGATTTGAACCGATATAATCGACATCAGGTCAATATGTATTTTATAATTGTAATTTTGTTCTGGTATGATCTGATCTGTTTAAATCTTGTTTGATTTGATTTGGTATGCTCTTGAAATAAGTTCAAGTAAAGCATTCTAAGAATTCATTTGTGCTAGATGTCTGATGCATTTGAGATTTATCATTAATAAAGTCAATTGTAGAAAAATATCCTTAATCATGGTTTGCCTTAAATCTGATTTGGTCCTTTCAAAATACGTAGTATATCTCATAGTTACGTTCCATCCTCTTACTGTCCTCTATCAACTCATCGCTAGCTTTCGGTGCCTAACCTATGCCTTAAATCATTTCCTAGTTTTATGTACATCTTATTCTCCACTCTTCAGGAACTAAAGGAAAAAATAGATACTCTCTCCCTCCCTATTATATCTTCCAAATAGGTTTGGCACAGAGTTTAAGATAGTGAGTATTGTGTGGTGGAGAGTTGTGCAGAGGAGAGAGAAATGTGTAAGAATTGCTGTGAACCACAAATTCTGGCCAAAAAAGGAAAGTGGAAGTTTTAATTGGGACGGACGAAAATGAAAAGTTGGAAGTTTATTTAGGGACGGAGGGAGTATTTTTCTTGTAACTCCTACTTACTGGCAAGTGATTAGTGTCGTGCATAGTGGATTCATAACCCACCGCCTTAATCTACTTGGCTAAACCCGCCCCTTAGCCCCTACAAAACTATTTTTTTTCAAAAAGGAAACAATAAAATGGGTATTCAAGAATTGAGGAGCAATAAATTATGTGATATATAATGACACCAACGCTTAGAGATTCTTGATAGAAGTATGATCCATTTGATTTATTCTTCTCTTCTGGTCGTATTGATTTTGTTCTATGGCAGTTCTTTCCTGCGCACTGGTGTTCCAGAGTGATTTATCTCTCTCTATGTGAGGAGTTCTTTGTTGTACCAGCTAGCTTCATTTGGTCATGGATCTCTGACTTCCTTCTTTTACAGTGTGAAGAAATTTATGAAAATACTTTATTTCAGTTTTACTTTTCCATTAGTACTACTTGTTTCTATTTTAGTTTGACTAGGTTTGTTTTGAAATTTTGAATTTCTAGAGTACGTTGATTGACAATACTTCTATTCCGATTGTTTCGTGTCTAGCAATCTGTTGCTTTGTATGAGGTGACTGATTCTATGTCTATTTTCAAGGCTTACAATTGAATGGGTCATAACAGTCTAGATGTTATGTTGTATTTTGTCTCATTTTTAATATAAAAGCCAGTCTTTTATACTCCATCCGTCCCCGAAAAAAGTTTTCCATTTGACTTTCACACACTTTTATGCATGTAGACTTATCAGGGGGTAAATTTTACTGTTTTGACGCTGTTTCGACACTGTTTGGCACTGTTTTACACTGTTTGACACTGTTTTGCATTGTTTGGAACTGGATTGATGTAGATAACTTTCCATTTAAAGAAAATGAGAACTTAAATTAGGAACATACAAATAAGAAAAATGGAAACTTCATTCCGAGTATTCAAAACAAGAATCGGGGAGCAATTATCAAGGGTATATGCAAGAGGGTTGACTGGCTTGTGTGAAGTTCAATATAATGCATTAGTTTAAGATGGTATTATTAGGTAGCCTGACTGCCTGACCGATGACAATACCTATAGTCTATACACTCCCGCCAAATATATACAAATATAATAATGATTGTTTATACTGATTTTTTTCATAAATAAAATAAAAGTAAAAAGTGTTTATTTGGTTTCAAACTTCAAAGGGCACTAAATGGTGATGCACGATCAACGTCTTATACAAGTCCACGAAATCATAGCAGCAATAAGGCTAGCTTTCCCACTGCCCACATGCTCTACTATACTATCCACTTTCATTAGCGTGGCTATGTTATACTCCCTCAGTCCCAAAAACAATTTCATAGTTTGACAATCACACAGATTAAGAAAATAAATTTGACTTTACTGTTGGGTGCACTGTTTTGCACTGTTCAAACACTGTTTGACACTGTTTGAACACTATTTGACACTGTTTGACACTGTTTTGATGTAGATAATTTGCCAAATAAGAAAAGTATTGAAGTGTGAAATTAATTCAGGGACATCCATTTAAGAAAAGTGAAAACTTGTTTTTGAGACGGAGGGAGTATATATTTTGAGTTTTCACGGACAACTCAATTGGTTGTGAGAATTACTTCCCCAGATCGCAGAAGTGATGTGCCACCAGTTTTTGATTTATTGAACTGATTTCAGTTGTTTTACATGGTCGATATAATACTCCACGTAATTGATGATAACCGTTTTTAATTTGTACGTTATTTAGACAGTCGCTAAAGGTAATTTGATTATATTTACAAAATTTAGTTTAATAAATGCGTAATATACTCCGTATAACATAATGAATTCATTAATAATAATTGTGTTATTATAGATGCATTATTTTTCCTTAAAAACCGGTGTATTATTTTTAAAATTTAATAATTAGTTTATTGTCATTTAAAAATGTTAATAATTTTCTAAAATTGACGCTGCCAAAGAGAGTATATCCCTCTCCGGGATTAGATTAAAGATTTCTTTGAAAACTTGCAGCATGAGGAACTTTTTCATTTTATATGCTCTTTATGGAGCATTTGAAAGGTAAGGAATGAAAAGGTATGGAAAAATAAGGAAGTTCGATGACGCCAGATTGCGGAAATTGGGGCAGCTATGCTTCAGAATTAGAGAGCGGTCAGGACCTCCAAAGGGGCGAGCGACAGGAGTGTTAGTGACACCAAGTGGCAACGACCTGGGGAAGGACAAGTAAAAATTAATGTTGATGCGGCTCTTGATATAAACAATGGTACTCGAGTATGGGCATGGGTAGCCAGAGACGGCACGGGGCAGTTCATTTCAGCTGGTTGTCAAAAAATTCATGCAGGCTAGAAGACTTAGGTGACGGAGGCTATAGGTGTCAGGGAGGTCAGGAGGTGCTAACTTGGGCCAAAACACAACAATGGTCATATGTGTTAGTCGAAACGGATTTCTTGATGGTATCATCTGGAATTACGAGTAGAGGGAGAGTCTTATTTTGACACTATTCTTGATTATATGAGACACATTATTCAACAAGAAGCTGAGATAGAAGTCATCTATTGTAGAAGATCCACGAACAGTGTGACTCATGTTCTAGCAAGGGCTACACTTTCTATGACGGATAGACGAATAGTTATTTGTATTTTTTTGTTCCTCTGATTGCATTGTACTCCATTTGGAGAATGATTTATTCAGGGGCGGAGCTAGAGGGGTGGCCGACCGGGCCACGGTCCGCCCCAAATTTGAAATTCTTTGTATTTTTAGTCTAAAAATTTATGTGGAAAAATTTATCTGAAAAATTCTTTGTATCGGCCCAGCCCAACCTTCAATCCTAGCTACGCCCCTGGATTTATTGCAGTACATTATGATCAGTTTCCAGCCAAAAACATGTGAAGTAAAATAGGGAAGCTTTAAAAACTTGAATGAAAAATTTGTCAATCTTTCCTTTTTGAGACGTTCCAAAAACTTTGTCACTTTCTCTTTTAATCAATTATTTCTCTCTCCTCCGCACATACATTAACCACACAATATTTACTTTATTATTTCTCGTACCGGTCAAATTTGGCAAAATTTTAAGAGACAAACATAATAACTTATAAATGAAGACTATGGTTATGTTTGGCAATTGGCACACAAAAGGCTCTAACTTCTAGCTTCTCTATTCTTTAAAAAGACCTTAAAAGACTTTAGTTGTAACTTGTATG